GGTTGCTAAGGATTTTATATTTCGCTTCACTTTTTCACACTGTTATTCCCTGCTGAATCCTTCAGCAGATCTCTGTGGCTTTCAAGATAAAATCAAGTTCTTCAGTTTTGTCTACAAGACCATTCCTAACCCCTGCCTCTCCCTTATGTGAGCTTTCTAACCTGGTGGTCACAAATGACTTGCAGTTCCCTGCTGTTTCTTGCTGTCCCAAGGACATGTTCCTGCACACATGCCTTCGTCTAGGTGGTGGGTCTTCTGCCTGGTCTTGCTGAGCTTCTATGTTCAGCTGGTCATTGATGGCCTTGTGCTGGCTGTCTGCTGGGGTGACAGGGGTAACCAGACCTCATGTCTCTCATTATCAAGTAAGCTAAGTCAGGCTTGCTTTCATGATGGTCTCAGAGTTCTCCAGAACAGCAAGAGAGCAGGCTCCAATGCACAAGGATTGTTCAGGTCTCTGCTGGGGTCACATTTGCTCTTGTCCCATTAGCCAAAGCAAGTCACAGGGCCAAGACCAGAGTCAATGTGTGAGGGAACTGCAAAGGCTGTGGATAATAAGTGGAACACACTACTTAGCCTTCTAGGTTTTACCTTCTGTTTGTTAATCCATTCACTCATTCATTCCACAGTCTTTATGAATACCTAAGCAAACCCTAGGTGAGGCACTGAGGATATAGAGATTTTTCTCAGTGCCTGGAATTTATGTTCTAAGACAGTCACTCAATGACTAGCACATTCTGTAAAAGTCAGACCAGGATTTGTGGAAGTCCCATGAGGTAAGGTGGGCCTCAGGAGGTCTGTCTGCATTCTTCACCATTTCTGCAGAAATCGCTACCTTGCTATTCAGAATTATATATTAATAACCACTTTTCCCATTAGAATAATCAGAAACCAAGATACAGAAACAAAATTTTAAATATTTTCAGTGTGTATGTTTTTAAAACCATGACTGAAATGCTACTGCATTTCTTTGGGAACCGATAAATTCAAGCATAAAACTGTGTGATAACAGCATTTCCACTAAATATGCAGATGTCAAGGTGTGTTACAGGAGCAGTTAACATTTCAATCCTTAGGCTCCAAGTTGTTCACCTGTTCATAAGAAAAAATAGCAGCTTGTAACTTCAAATTCATATGTGCAAAAATTGCATAGACCAAACGTTCAAGTGAAAATCCTGTTAGAGACAACTACCTAAAGCTTCCATATTAAGAGTGTTTATTTTTCTCTAGGATTAGAACAGATTGCATTGGCAGCCCGGTCTTTCATAAAGAGGGAGGTGGGGAATAGACTTGGGCCTTCATTTTCTCACAAAAGGCACAATGTGAAGCGCATCTGTGAACATTGCATAATTTGTTATGTTCTACAAAGAGGTGGGTTTTTGTTGTACACATACCAAAGCTATTTGGTCCCGTTTCACCAGTGATCTCTATTCAGGTCCAGAAAAGAAATTGGCCTCAGAAGAGTGAAAGGAAAGTAAATTTTTCTTTAAAAATTAGATACAGATTATCACTTCAAAATGCAGGAGGGAATTTTACAAGTGCCGGTGTACTGATTAGCTTTCCAATGGACATCCAACCCTTTATTAAACACATGCTAGCTGTGGTCAACTGTGACCGATGTGGTTTATTACTCTCCAGAAGGGCTGAACTGAAATCACCCATCTAATTTAATTGAGAAATGTTGGATGAACTTGAACTGTTTCATGGACATGAATGACCAGAGAATTTATTTGATGAGACATTAAAGGCTGAATACGGTAACTATCTCTTTGATAGTTTAGTACAGTCTATTCATTTGTTCATTAGCATGTCTTTCATATTTTTCATTACTACCTGAGCAACCTAAATGAAAAAGGCAAAAAAATAAAAGTTTTTGTACAGCATCATTACAAAAATTACCAACCTTCCCTTTATTGGTAAATATTCGTGACCGCTTTTAATGTAGTTAACACTTTTCAAAGTGACATCAGCTTTCCAGTAAAGGAAGTTCACAGTAATTAAATGGTGAAAAACATTAATAAGTCCACTGGGATTTTTCATATGATAGTCCCTAAATTATTTTCAAAATGTTGGCTTCTGACTTCATTCATTAAGACAAAAAAAAAAGCCTTTAAGAAGTTGGCATGTTATTCACCAAACAAGCCCCTTTGCATTTTCTTGTAAACTGGGCAGTGTGAGCTATAATTGGTGACCTCACAATGAAACATTTATAGTAACTTTATCAAGTGTATGGCACAGAGGTGGCATCAGATGACAGTGCTTTCTCTTCATGTGTGTCTGCTAACATTTAAGGTAGATTCTGCTTTTTTTCCAATGACTAATGCTGGGGCATAACTTGGAGATATATACCTTTTTAAAACTATATTAAAATATTATATATTTTAAATTATCCACAGAAAGTCAGAGCTGGAAACTCAAAGAATAAATTACAAAATCACACTTCATATAACTAGTGACTCTTTAAATGAAATTTTTCATTGAAACTTTGTCATTAAAATAGAAAGGGCTTTGGCTGTGCCCATACAAGCATAATAAATTGTATATGTTTGTGATACTGAATGACTTTTACCCATATGCTGCACTGCAAAGCTACATGAATGAGGCATTTACCAAATCAAGCCCACCACATTAAACAGAAAAACAATCTTTATTCATGGTAACTTATCAGTTTCAATTAATCAACCCTAACAATGGAAATTCTGATGTGTTCAAGCAACTTGAAAGCAATAGGTCATCTCCAGGGCAGCATTGTTGTGTCTTTGTGCTGAAGGTTTCAAACAAAGCAACATCTTCAATAAATACACATGCATATACATACATACATGTGCATATATATACATACAAATGGGCAGTTACAGCTGAGCCCTGTGGTGCCAACAAAAATGCATGTGTATTGTTTATTATTTTTATCATAGCACATGTAATTGTTTTCCCTCAAGTATTACTTTTTGAGCTCTGCAAATTTAAACAAAAGGAAAGAAATTTCCATTGGATGACCATCCTTTCAGTTTCTGTACTGCTATGTGAATAGCATTGTGCAAACCATTCCATTGGTTTTGAAAAGGGGTAACCATTGGTTTGATTTGGTTACACGGTTTAGTAAAGAGCTCCCTCCCACTGCCTTAGGGTCTGTGAAAGGTCTGTGACCTGTTTAGAACTGCCAAGTGAAATGTCATGTCGCCCCTCCCAAATGGGAGTATCTGCATTCATTTGATCAGTATAAAAAATGATTGGGGATGGCGAGATCAGTGCTTTTGAATTGCAATTTATAGCAGTTTACAAAAATGCACATTGTTGGAAAAGAAAACATGGAAGTGTTTCTTTCTAAATTGCATTACCTGTGAAATGTCATTAGTCTTTTAAGGATATTTACATCCTTTTTTTATTATTATTTAGGAGACTTACTTCAACTAAAGCAAATCAGAATTTTATTACGTTATGATTTTTTTAACTTGTATTTTGGTTTTAGTGATAGAATTTTTAAAAAAGGAATGTTTCTGAGTTATTCATATAAACATAATTTATCATGTCCATTTATTGATTTTCTAAGATAATCTTCCTTAATGAGTTGTATTAGTAGAAGATTCTTAATTATCTTTCCCAGATTGTTCAGGAGATTTATTTGTTGGTAAATTCCTTGTCTGCTGATTTCTAATAGACTAAAATCTCCAGTATATTTAACTCTAGCAAGTTTCCACTATTCCTTCAACATTGTACTACCAGAACTTCTTTGTAAGATGGGTACTTTTCTAAATTATGGAACCCGTTGACTCATCTACATGTATGCATAGTTTTATAAAAGGGAATTTCATTGCTTTTCGTTAAGTGTGCAAAAGAATACACGAAGCTTATCCAGAAAGTTTAGGTAGCCTGTTCAAGTTCGTAAGGACTGAATGAAGCCTCCTGGAGTTTCTGGGGTGCAGAAAACAATGCCCTTTTTGCTATTTCCAGGCATCTCACAAGCTCCGTATCTTTATGGCAGTGCGTAGTATTGGACATTACTTTAAAGAAAGCTTTGAGTAAGAAAAGTTACCTTGGGAAAAGGCCCTTGGGGCTTTCCTGGTTGGTACCCGATTAGAAAAAGAAAGGCCCTTCTGCAGAAAAGACTTGACCCAGATAGGCTCTGGAGCACTCCACTTTGAACCTCCCAACCATTGAAATCCGAGGTTGTCACGTTTTTATCTTTGTTCATGTTAAGCCTTGGAATGACAGCCTGGCTCCTCTGTGTTCCCCTCTCCCATTGCCTGGCTGTAAGTGTCCACATTGACACCTACCGGTGACCGCAGGCTGCAATGCTTTGTTGCCTTCTCCACGCTCCCGGCTTTCAGTGGGATTAGCCCAGGGCCTTTGTTCCCCTTCAAAGCTGGAACATCACATCCCATGTTGTGGCTTTCCTGTCTCAGACCCCCAAGGCTTTCCTCACAATTTACGCACCAGGTAAATGTTCCTCCCCACAGGGCAGAGAGCCCAAACCATTGAGGTTGGGGGTGGGGACATCTTCCCATTCCCCAGTTTCAGAGCCCAGGGCCAATGTGGTTTTGTTTCCTTCTCATTCATAATTTTCTATTTCACATGGAAGAAATATTGCAAAGCAAATGGAAATTTAAATCTTGGAAAAATCAAATCCCTGGGTCCAAACACAGACAACTCTTCCTACTTTTTTTTATTCTGTTACAATGGCTTCAGTAGAATGTTGAGTACTGGCCTTTATCAGGGGCAGCTAAGACCATTCCTGCAGTCTGGGGCTGCTGGAGAGCTCCAGACTGTCTCAGAGCAAAGCTTGGCTGGCACACGCTGTCTAGAAGGCCAAGGATAATCTGCCTGCCTGCCCTACCTCCTTCACCACCTCTCTTCCAGGTTCCTGAAGAGGCTCCCAGCTAGGGCCAGGGCTGGGAGCACCCACTAAAAAGATGATGCAAAATGCTATGGGGGAAGAGTGGGGAGTGGTTTGTGTATGGTAAGTAAAACAAAGTTTATGTCTGTCCACCTTTCTTCACGTTTAGGGAAGTTGTCGGAATCCCCAAAAGAAGAGTCCTTGGAGGAAGCACCCATGCGCCAGAGCAGCCCCGCGGAGACTGTTGATTAACTGAGCAGAAGCCTGGGCTGCACAGACAGGGCCACAGAAAGAGTGGCCTCACCATCCTGGTGTAAGGTGCCTCCCTCTCAAAGGATACTATCTCCAAGGATTTTCTAAACTAATTGTTTAATCTTTCCAGATTATGTACATTAACCAGCACTGTGCTGGAATAAACCTCAATGCGTGCCTTATGCGCCCTCCTTTCCACGCCTTTAAGGAAAGCGCTGACTGGTGCTGGGTGAGCAGGGCGCACCGACCCTGCGGGGCGACCACATCCATTCAGGTGCTCCCGGGACTCAGAAGAGCCCAGGCGTCTAAGAGTGGGAAGGAACGGACTTTAATTAAAAAGTTTGACTCCCTCTCTAATTCATATAGTCTTTCTATACCAAAAACATCAACCTAATTTGCTGTCTCCTCACCCAATAACTAGTCCCCATGAAGGTGGGTCATAAAGACTAGAGGGAGATCGTACATTTCCTCAAGGAAGATTCATTCTTATCTTACGTCGGCACAGGGCACCTAGCCGCATCTTAAAGACTGTCAGAAATTCTTTAATAAGTAGGGAAACTCTTTGGAGTTTTGCTTCCTGGTAAGGATGCAAACCAAGATTCTGCTGGAATGCCAGACACCGTTTACCAAAAGGCAGGTTTGCTTTTCTTCCATGCGTAATGTCCAACTTGGTTCTTTCTACTCCCCTAACTACAAGTAAGGCCTTGTTAAGAGCCTGTATCTGAATTGTAGGCTCTGGATTACAGTATTCTAAAGTTATTTATTAAGTCTCAAGAAATATATTTATGGTAGTTGTCACATAAAGCTGATATACTTTAGTTCAAAAGAAAGCTGCAGAGGCGATTTATTTGTGCGTAAAAGGAACACGATTTAATTGGAGAGAGACATGTTATTTTCAACGCAAGTACACGGGATGGTACAGCGCTGTGGAGCATTGTTCGAGCTTCATCTACTATGCACTATATGCCGCTGTCTCCAAAGGAGTGTTGCCCTAGAAACTTGTTTTAAATCTGCTGCTATATATCAACACCTTGTTTTAGCAGTCCTTGGCTGAATTACAGTTACACAGTTTGGCGCTTCTTTCAAATTTCCTCCCATCAGTTTGGCTAAAGAAAGGAATTTTTCTCCTTTAGAAATGAATTGGCTTAATTAGTAAGTAGATTAATGGCAATTGCTGGTGAGTTGGTTTCCAGCAGAGTTTCACCAGAGAGGGTTAATCGGAGTCAGGTCTGGAATCTTTCCCAGAACTGGCTGCCAGCCATTTCCACCAACCAATCAACCCTACAAGGAACAGAGGAAATGAAATAAAATTTGTATCCTCTGTGCCATCGTCCTGGACAGAAATTCCTTGAAAGCAGCCTCCTGGTTGGGTGCAATATCAAACTGCTTCATTTCAGCACTTTAATAGAAACTTGAACCTTCAAGATTTATCCGGATACCAAAGCAAAGTTTCAAATGGCACAATAAAGGTCTCCACAGAACCCTGGAAGTATTGGAAATTTCTGAGGCTCTCAGCCAATTTCAGGTTGGGAGAAATTGCAGATCACCCAGGTCCTGCCCTATATCTGTTGTCCATCAGAAGCCCTTCAAAAGTTTTGCTGTATGTTTTGCATCCTTTTTACTTATTTTTTTCCCATAGTAATGAAAATGCATTCATAGTTTAACTTGCAGCTGCATTAGTCTTGGAAAAAAAAAAAAAAAAAATCCCTGCTGAGAAATGCATATAATAGGAAAAACAGATCGGCTGGACAGCAGTGTAATTAATGCCAGAAAGGGCTGAGGCCGGTTTCATAGTTTGTCTTTTGAGGATATCAAGACGAGACCTGGTGAAAAATGACGCATGCTTTAGCATTTCAGAAAGCTGGCAACTGGCAGCGCTTTTCCTTTTTTCTTTGACTTTCTGCCGCGGAACAAAGAGGTCCGCAGAACTAGCTAGGTTGTAATGAGTTCTATGTCCCTAGCACATTAAGTGCATCATGGAAACATATTGTATCGAAATAGTTTGGAGGAGAATACTGGGGATGAAAGAGAATGGGTGCTTTGATCAGCTCCCTGGGGTCCTGAGCGCGCACAGACTGACTTGCAAGGAGTTATTCAGCTCCAGCTAGACACACTTACAACACCATTGAAAGAAATTTGCATATCTGTAATTTATCACATTGGTCCAGAACATTATTGCAAGGTAAATAAAAGTTAGTTGAATAAAATAATCAATCATCGCAGATATAGAGAAAACTGTGAAGCCAGTCTTTCCACTAAAAAATAGAAATAAATATGTCTATAAAACATAATGACTTAGAAGCAGCTGACTTTATTTTAAAATGCTTTTAGAACAACAGGTTATGCATTGGCAAAAACAAGAGTGGCCACAATTTCTTTGCCTTTCTGCTTTAGGGGAGTGTATTCGCTGCTTCCCACTGTAATAAAGTCAAAGTTGAGACGTGTTTGGCCATAACCAGCCTGCAACATGCAGACAAAAATTAGTACACACTTTGAGTAGATATGAAAGACCACTTAATGTCTCTAGCATTTGCAAATGCTAAGATTAAATCTCATTTATTCTTCTGTTGATTTCATTCCTAAGCCTTGTTTGCTGAATTTAGCTCAAGAGGATGAAATGTCCGGAGATCTGGTCAATAGGAAAACTTGCTTTCTAATGCCCCATGAGAACAAGTGAAAATTTAACAGGCAGGCATTGTTCTGAGTTTTGAAACAACCCAGTTAAACAGCAAACAAGAATCTTCAACTTGACCTTGAAAAAGGCTGTGTGCCTGCAGATAATCTATCAAACAACTCTAGATGACAATGATGTATTTCAAAGTATTGTCAGATGAAAAGATTGATAAATTTGCTGTTGCAAAGAGAGAACTTTGGAAACAGGCAACAGGCACTTTAGCTCTCTGACTCCGCCTCCTCCTCTGTCCTCACTGCACCGTCCCCACCCCACCACCCCCAGCCGCCCTTGGGGCCAACTCGGTAGAAGGCCAGTAAATCAGCACTGTAATATTTCTTAAGGGGCACGGAAAAGCTGTGAACAGTACTTCTCATATTAAACGCAATATTTCTTTGCTTTCGTGGGGAACAAAAGTCATAGCAAGACGTCTTTATGGCTAATTCAGTCAAAGGCACATCCCTGGTTCCCCCCGAAGAAAGGTCAGTGTCGTTGTGTTTGGTCCACCGAGGGGGTGTTTTCACACTGAAAACTGAGCCAGCTGTCCCTGTCATACCCTCGCCATTGGGGAGCGCGCACTAGCCATGGTTATTAGGCACTTCTACACCTGCAAAATACACCGATTTCCAAGACTTTTCAAGACACCCTCCCGTTCTCATGCCCCCTCCTCTTGTCTGCTAAACTTTGACAACACAATTCAAGCCCTGGATGAAAGCGCTGCACGCAAGAAGAACTCTTGGGAGGGGTGGCCCAGCTACCATCTCCCGGTGTCTATTGAGCGGCCATCAAAGAAATGAGGCGTCAAGTGTGTTTTCAGAAGTATGGAAAAACTTCCAGATAATTGCTTCGAGGTGTCACACATCTGCTATTGCCACACATGCCAGCTGTTGAACCCTAATATTTTATTATATGCACCGGTGTGAGGTGTGGGGTTGCAGCCAGGCGTCCTTCGCGTAGAAGTGGCTTGTTTTAAAATTTGTAATTATCATGTCACTGACAAGCGCCAGGAGATACAATTTTTTTGAGTTGCCCAATGCCAATGCACGTCTGTATTTTTACAATCCGAATGCCAACGCTTGCCGAACTAGGTTTTATCAAACTTCTTCTAGAAACATCCCCTAGCTAGACTCACCCTAAATCCACTTCCAAACGCTTGCACTCCAGAGATAGGCGACTAACTAGCTGGGAGACGTCCAGCGACTCAAACAGGAAAGCAGCTAGAAGGGATCCTCCTAGAAAGGAGCTAGGAGGGTGCGGGCTCTTCCCAGAGAGGTCCGCCAGGGAGTACTCAACTGGTGTTTGTTCAACCTCGCAGCTGGTACTCGGTGCAGTCGCTGAAGAGAAATTGTAAAACTAGAAATAATTCAGAGTAAGTATCTTTAAGAGCGAGAATGCCCCAAGGTGCCAGTACCTCTAAGACAGGAGGGCCAATGTAACTAGCTTTCTCCATCCGCACTTACACAGGGCCTAGGAGTGGGGGTAGGGAACCAAAGAGTCCTATCTGGCTGCGGGTTGGGGGGAGGGGGCGAGGAGAGGAGAAGAGCGCATTTAATTAACCGGCGGTGTGTCTCTAATCCTCATCTTTGTCTAATCCACCCAAACTGCGGAGCTCTACATGAGAAGTCCCTAGAGTGGGCGAGGTGCAGAGGTGCCCAGGACGCCTTGGGTTCCTGGGACACAGGCAGAGGTGAAACACCCCACATGCCACAGGAAGCGGGAGGGGGCGCAGCTCACCAGTAGGGAACCCTAAACTATTTCCTGAAGGCTTGGGGCCTCCACACAACCCGCCTCCACGAGTAAAGCGCCGGCGCCTCTCCAAAGCGATGTCAGCGCAACAGGTTGTTTGGAACAGGTGCCGGCCAGCTAGGGATGGGATTGGCATTAAGCTGCGGGGATCAGTCAAGGGCCAAGACTCCCCGAGAAGCAAGGGCAGACCCCCAGAGGTCTGAAAGTGGGGACTGGCTAGAAACTTGCGCCCCCCGCCACTGTCGCTGCTAGCGCTGGCGCCTCAGCCCGGAGGCAAAAACCAGCTCGCCACAACCTGCGCCCCGGGTCACGGGGCCCTCTGCAGGCGGCCGCCCGAGGGCTTTCCGCCCGGCCGCGGGGCATAGTTGTCCCGGGCCTCCTCCTAAGAAACCTGGGGTCCCATCCCCAGGTCTTCTTCTGGCCGTTCGCTCCCCTCCCTGCTCGCTGCTTCCTGGAGCCCCTCTTGGAGACTTCCATGCGCAAAGACAGCAGAACTGCGGAGAGCAAGGCGTCGGGGAGCCACTTCCAGCCTCGAGCGAAGACAGGCAGCACCGGAGTCCCGAATGCCCCTGGGAGCAAGGGCTAGGCGGGCCTCCGGGGACACTCGTCCGACTCCACCCCGGCTCTCCGGAACCCTGGGAACGCGGAGCAGCGGGCGGGGCGCATGCGCGCCTCCGGCCAGGGTCCCTCCCCGGCCTGCGGAGTTTGGGGAAAGTTTGGCGAGGTTTGCCCTGGCAGCGGCGGATGTCCCAAAGGCCAGACTGCCCTGGGGATGCAGCCAGGATCCCCCCAGAGTCCCAGGAGCGGGCTCGGCAGGAGCTCGAGGGCTGAAAAGCGGCAGAAGGTGGGGAGAGGGAGGCCTTTTGTGTGTGGCACAGGAGAGTCACTTGCGCACAAACGCAGCAGCGCGCTCCGCCGCCGCCTCAGCCTCCACCGCAGC